CTGTTTTATACCGTATTTCATTAGCCCAAGAAAGGCTCCAGAGGATTTGTGCAAAGACTAAAGGGGAAACAAGGTCGGTTTCGTGGGAATCTGTCTGGCAAGAGAGTGGACTACTCCGGACGCACGGTCATCTCACCTGATCCTAATCTTCACATTGATCAAGTAAATATAAAATAAGTTACAAGCTGATACTGTTTATGTTTAAGGTGTTATTTCATCATAAGGCAGAGTCCATCTCTTGCAACGTTTGCCGTTTGTTTCTTTCTGAAGTTTCAGTTTTAGAATCTGTCAGAAAACTAGGTTAGGCCCCTCCAGGTAACTTTGGTTATATTGATCGAGGGAAGAATGTTGTTTCATTTTTATTTGTTTAGGTAGCAGTTCCAGTACATGTGGCAAAGGTTCTCACTTACCCCGAACGAGTAAGTATTGCATTTTACCTCGATAGTAATCCGATATTGTTTTGGATTTTCCTTACTTTGCTCTGTGATTGGTCCAGAAAACTCGCACAACTTTCTAACCAATCAGATACAAAACTAAAGCCAATCACGGCTTGGTTGCCGTTGTTTTCCCGCGCTTCAGGCAGTTTCCCTGTTTTTATTTTGAGTTCTCATTGGTTCTTAAAGATATTTTCCTTTTCTGATTGGCTGTTGTGATTGCTTACGTTTTGGTTTTAATATACTCAATCGAAAAGCGCTCTATTACAGGTAATTTAGCATTAACAACTGAGTTGAAAACGTAAATTAGCCACCGTAAAGGGTAAAAAAACTGACGTTTCGAGCGTTAGCCCTTCGTCAGAGCTCTATTACAGCTCACTTTAATTGTTGTAAATAAAAAATGTTCACAAATGCCTAAAGTGCTGGAAACTCAAAAGACTAAGTCCTGTTGGGTTTTAATTTTGCTCAGAGTGAAGGAAAGGAAAACCAGTGCAATTCTGGATTACTTTTTGACATTCAATTGAAAATTGTTCTATTTCCTTATCGTCCGTCTAACACCAGTCACATAAGCTGGGAAATGTAGGATTGTTTTTGCAGTTAGTCAAGATCTTCATATGTGTTTTTCTGCAAAGTTTTGTGTTATTCTCATAGGTAACAGAGGCCAACATACAACTGATGAAGCAGCTGATATTGAATGGAGCTGATAAACATCCAGGAGCCAACTTCATTCAGCAACGGCAAACAAACATCAGAAAGTGAGCTGATTTTATCTTTATTTGTCTCATTGTGTAGCATGCAAGCAGGCTTTCGATGGCGCTGCAACAGGAGCGGCCAAGCTCGCGATCTTCGAGCCGGCGAGCAATTCGAGTGTGCGAGAAGACGGCGAGGTACGGTTGTACCAAACCTCTCACAGAACTCTCGCACGCTCGCTTCGCGTGCTGGCTCGTGGATTAAATCATGGATTAAAGAATTGGTTTCTATGAGCTGCCAAAAGCGGTTCTTTTAAGCTAATTGACACTTCCACACTTTTGTGTTTGCATTTTTAAATCTCCCTCGGCTCTTATCCGTTCTCTCTTTATAGACAATGGTCTTGGAGAACGTAAAGGGAAAAAGGACAAGGCTTTTCTACAATGTCCATCGGGAGCCACGTCTCTCCTCTTTAAGTAGCCTGGGACCCACATTTAGTACATAGGAAATGGTTACTGACTGCTAACGTATTTTTCTCTTCTTTTCGTCCAGATTTCTCAAGTATGGCAATAGAAAACAGATCATTAAGGAATTGAAGGTAACCAAGTTTTCAAATCTGATATCCTTCTGTACTTTTAACTCAAATAGAAGGAAACTTTAAAAAAATAGTTCCTTAACGTAGTTTGGTTTTAGCTTTGTATCTGATGGGTCGAGACCTGGGTACGAGTTTTCTCGACCGATCACAGAGCGAAGTGAAGCGAAAGCAATGCGATGCCAGGTTACTTCCAATACTCAGTTTTGAAATTTGTCTCAGGATAAGGTAAATATTTCATGTTGTAATTTTGTTGTCTTCTTCAGTATGGAGATATCGTTGAAAGACATCTCATGGATGGAGATGTAGTACTGTTCAACAGACAACCCTCACTTCACAAGCTTAGCATCATGGCTCATCAGGTTTGTTAAGTGATGAAACCGTAACTTCTTCTCTCATTTCTTTTTAATCAGTTTGGTAGAGACGTTTTAAACAACGCATTCGGCTCAAGTGCATCTCCGTCCTAGCCTGATTTGTTTTTCAGAAAATTGGTGCTTGCCGACTTTTTATTTCTTCCAAGACGAAAAAACATCTGCACTATTTGTAACAAGTACCTCTGACGGTGCCTCAGGAAAACTTGACGAATTATTGGGAGTTTCTTGTGAGAGATTGCGGTCATATTCAGGAGGTCATAAAGCACTCCAGGTTGTCTCATATGATGGTTAAGGTTTTGCAGGAAGAGGCTTACTGATTTGAAAGACTGAACCACTACTCGAAGAATTAACTATGTTATCAAAACCAAACAAAAAAAACGAACAAACAAACCTCAATGGGCATAACTGAAAATAAGCTAGCATAAGATCTGGTTGGTTTTGGATGCTGATTTTGACTGAGGTATTCCGTTTAGTTACATGGTGATTCTGTGTTTTCTCTCTTGTAGGCGGTGGTGAGACCTCACCGAACATTTCGTTTCAATGAATGTGTATGCACCCCTTACAATGCAGACTTCGACGGCGATGAAATGAATCTTCATTTGCCACAGACAGAGGAAGCTAAAGCTGAAGCGCTGACACTCATGGGGGTAGATGCAATAAATACATATGTAAATCTTAGAACTTAATGGAACGCACGTATAAGGGATGTTATAGAGACCATCTGAAAGTAAATTCCTGGGTCACGACAGGGGAAGGGGTAGGGGTTACAGGCGACAAAAGTTTAGAAGAGGGGGAAAGCCACACTGAAAATTTCGAGAAGCGAAGTGCAGACATGCGGCCGAGGTGTTAAATGAAATGATTTTGATTAATGAGCTAAATCAGGGACACGTGCTTTGTGGAAAAACCGAACGAGAGAGTGATGACATAGGTTCACATAGGAGCTATCGAAACCAGTGTTCAAAATCGGAATCTAGCATCTAAAATCAGACACTAGAGTCTAAAATCAGACTCTATGAAGTCTAAAATCAGACTCTAGTGTCTAAAATCAGACACTAGTGTCTAAAATCAGACACCAGTGTCTAAAATCAGACGATAGCTTCTAAAATCGGACACCAGTGTCTAAAATTAGACACTGGTGTCCAAAATCAAACTTAAGTGTCGAAAATCAGACACTAGTGTCATAAATTTGACACTGATGTCCAAAGTCTGACGCAAGTATCTCAAGGTAAAGTCCGATAGCAATGTCCAAAATCAGGCATTTATGTCCAAAATTGGAACCTTGCTTCCAAAATCGGACGCTCTTGTCCCAAATCGAGTATAAACGTTCCAAATCAGATAAGAGGGTCCGAAATTGGACGTAAGCGTCTGATATCGGATGGAAAAGGCATGTGCACAGATTTTTATGGTTACATGAGTTTGAAATCCTCACGAAGACTCTACCTACATTTTGCTTTGACAAGAACCTAAGCATAGGTAGATCCGCCTTCTTTTTTAAAGAATTTGTTTAATATGGTCAAAGGCGCCATCGTCTTGACTTTATTCGCTAAAATTTCCTAAGACCAGAGAATTCATTCATTGATAAAGTTTTTTTCTTTGTTCCTCAGGTCAAATCGAATTTAGTAACACCACGGAATGGCGAACCTCTCATAGCCGCCATACAGGATTTTATCACAGGTGTGAAAAGTCAATAATAGTTGTAGAGTATATCTTCCAACACGGTTTCTGTTTTATCTCTTTACGATGCTGGAATTCAGGGGTGAAAGAACAAAGCTGCTTTACGCGCGCTAAGTCAACTACAGTACGTCAGTTATACTTTTCCCTAGACAAAGAATAAGTCGCTCGGGACGCTGAGATCCCGAAATCCACGGGATGTTCGGGTTCCATCGGGTCATTCGAGTCACTCTGGATCAACGAGTTGTATAGCAAAGGAAGCCAACGCTGGTTGGAGCCCGAATTCTTGATTTATCTACCACGACAGAATTTTATCGGTGACTGCTTGGAAAACTCATTCATTGTCTACATTTTAATTTCCGTGCTATTCCAGGGGCTTATCTGCTGACGCAGAAAGATGTTTTTCTTGATCGGAGCCATATCTCGCAGCTGTTGGCTTACATCCTGGCTGGGAAAGACGTGAATATCAGAATCGATCTTCCGCGTCCAGTTATACTTAAGGTGAGACTGTTGTTAACGAGTTGGATTGTATTTTTTGAACGAAAAGTAAGAAACCACGCTGTAACCAGAGAGGTTTCCCCAACAAATATGTCGTACCTTTTTCGTCTTTCCTTTTTCGAGTGATAGTGACAAGCTTTTCCTCGACAATTCCTGTGGTCCAATTGCCAACATGCCAGTTTTCGAACAGGGAGACTTGCCGTGACAAGAACAAGAGCCATGGAAATATTAAAGCGGAGCTCGCAGAGCGTAGCCCCATAATTATACAAAATAGTTGTAACCCATCAAGCCGAAAAATTTTGGATGTACGACCGTACGGCCGTACAAGGTACTACTTTTAACATGTGTGGTCAACTGTGCCGCGGGCACGCCAACGCCACGGCTTTGTTCAGTAGTCCAGTGGTCAGTGCACCGGGCTCCGAGTCGGACGACCCGGGTTCTAGTCCTGGCCGGGGCAAAAATGCGAGCTCCGCTTTTAGGCTGGGCTAAATCTATATTTTAGGAACTTCTAGGGAAGCAAATGCGCTTGACAAGAAAACCATGTCACATGTCGTTTTTTAATGTGGTCTCCGCCTCGCAGCCGTTCTTTGGGATGTCACGCAACGCTCCAGGGAGCATTGCGTGATGTATTCTTAGTTCTAAAGTACAAGTTACTAATAACGGTGTACGAGTATAAGTAAGGTGGTGAAGAGTGAGTAAATAAAAAGTCTGAAATACTACTTAGTTGTTTATCGACTGTTGATAGGAGTTGGAGTTAAAATTTTCCCCAGTGAAGGGTTAGCAACCTAAACGGTGGCTTTTCAAAATTAAATGTGGCAGTTTATCTTTATTTATCAACATCTAGTTGAAGACAAGCGACACATTTCCCTTGCTTACTGACACAGCACTACATGTTTATTAGAAATTCACTACTTTGTTATTAAGATGCGTGTTTTGAATTTGTTTATTTGGCAGCCAGTGAAACTTTGGACTGGAAAACAGGTGTTTAATGTCATACTGAGACCGAACATGGACATGCCAATCAAAATGAACCTTCGCACAAAAGGAAAACAGTACACGAGCGGAGAGGATCTTTGTTTTAAAGACTCTTGTAAGTAAACTAGTTTTTCTTCTACCCTCGCACTCCCATAAGCGACAAAAAAGAAATTTCTTCTCTCATTGTTAATACATTCTCAAGCACAAAGGTGATAAGAAGATAGAAAGATATCATCTGGAGGACGTGTTTTGATAAACACCAAATTCTCACAACAGAAATCAAAGGAAATGTATGAAAGACAGTTCGGAGAATTGATGTTAAGAGGTTCAGGTTGAAAGGTTTAACCTTCTAAGTTTTGTTTGGATTCTCCAATGGAAAAACTGGATTCGAGTCCTGGTTGTTTCATTGGTTTGTGTTCTTGGACAAAACATCAATCTTTCACAGTGTCTGTCTCCGCCCTAGAGGGGAAATGGGTTCTGGAAACCTTACAAAATGCAAGGAGGGGGCGAGGGAGGAATGGGTGGGGCTGGGTCACGTGAGATGGGTAACAATGCTTCTCTCAGCGCCTCTCTCCATCCAGGACTAGGAATGGGTACCAGTGGACTGTCAGAGAAACTTGACTTGATCTGTAGTGAACTGACGTTCCATCAATGGCAAAATTCCTCGTCACTTCACGCTGCAGGAAATCGGAGAAGCTCAGGCAGTTTTTGGATTCAGTCTCGTCTGAGAATTTGTCCAAAAGCGTGAATTTAGCATATGTTTCTTTTTCATGGACAGATGTGGTGATTCACAACAGTGAGTTGATGTGTGGTGCATTGGATAAAGCTGTGCTGGGTTCTGGCTCTAAGAACAGTATCTTCTATGTGCTCCTCAGAGACTTCGGTGGTCAGGTAACTGCAGTATTTTCTTTTACTTCTGTTGCTTAGCAGCAAGGGACCGTTTATTATCTATTCCCTTGGGTTGGGGGGGGGG